ATCATCATCATCATCATCATCATCATCATCATCATCATCATCATCATTTGAGATCATTTAACCCATTGTAGCCTTGTCCTTCTTGAGGAGAATCCTCTCACAAGAGCTTCACTTCAGTCTGTTTCGGGCCGGAGACTTTCCGTCTTCATGTGTTTGGTCGCAGGTCAAGGCACGAAGAAAGAAGAAGAAGTAGGCCGGCGACTCGAAGAATGCCTCCTTTTCTGGTTGGTGCTTTACTTTGTGCTTTTTATACCCTATTCATTTGGGCATGAGATGGCATGAGCACCTTGACTCATATTTGTGGGAAGGGCTGTTTTTTTCACCAGTGAACAGTCATGAACTTCAATGAAAAGCACTAATTTCACTTTGGGCCGTGCTCTAAACCGCCATCATTTGAACACGAGGGTGGGGAGGTCAAGGAGGGGCAAGCCATACCGAACGTTCCAGGGAGAGGGAGAGTTCTGTTTTATGCTGCTTGCCTCACTGCAAAGTTCATGACCGGGGCGATCTCCGGATGTCTACCTGCAGGATTTCTCCAGCTTCAGGTCTTGTAAGACACTAGTGACTGCATTGACTTCTTACAAGCAGAAGCCAGTTGACCAAGAGCCCAGAATATCCATCGGGAGCTACGTGATGCGTAGCCGGCGAGTCCCCCAAGCACTGGCCAAATAAGTCGATTTCATGGGCCATGGGTGTTGATTGGTGTGTGTTGAGGTGTGTGTGTGTCACACGGTCAATATCAGAGGATTCAGATCCTGTGAATGGCTTTCCCGTCGTACAATGGTATTTTTCTGTCCACGAATCCATTGGGACACGTGCACGGGCAGCGTTGGTCAACTGTGGCCTTTAGGCCTTTAACGTAGTAGTAGTCTGGTCTGGTTCTGGCTCCCTGGTCTGGTTAGCTAAGCAGCTATTTCTGGTTCTGGTTCTGTCTGTAGTATTTTCGTCAGCAGAAGGTATCTCTTAAAGGTTGGTTCGCGTGAATGGTCCCCCAACATTAAGAGAGATGGGTGGTAGGGTCGTTTGCAACGCGGCCCATCTTTCCGCCAGATCGCGACGCAGAGAGTCCTCCAAGGCCTTTTGTGATGGTTGGGGTCAACAGGAGGCGATAAACCCAAGAGATGGCAACTCTATCAACACCTGCGACGAGTATGGGCTGCTCCAGGGTTGGATCGTTTGGTGGGATGGTTTGCTGAAATCCATGTCTTTGCTCGGCTCACTTGCAAGTACCAGAAACCACTCCTGCATGCACCCAACAAGTAAGTATCCCATGCAGTGCCCTTTGCTGTTGTTGTGTTGTACCCCTCGTATGAAACTAAAGTGGTAGGACAACTGACAACTCAGTTCCCGCAAAAAGTGTCCATCGCTCTTAGGTTGGAGGCCATCGCTCTTAGGTTGGAGGCCATCGCTCTTAGGTTGGAGGCCATCGCTCTCAGGTTGAAGGCCATCGCTACTTGGAGGCCATCGCTAGTAGGTTGGAGGCCATCGCTCTTAGGTTGGAGGCCATCGCTAGTAGGGTGGAGGCCGTCACTAGTAGGGTGGAGGCCATTACTATATCTACTCGTTTCAATTTGCTTTCGCATGTCATCCTGGAGTTTAGTTCAGCTCCTTTGCACGCTTGGTTGGGTCAAGTGCTCAAGTGCTCTCCTCCTGTTTTGTGCAGAGGCCCACGACTGTCAAGTGTACAAGCAATTGTTCAGCTGATTCTGAAGTGGTGGCATCAGGCTGTTGACAGACATCCATTTTTGTTGAGGAAGGATACCTAAACGACCGACAGTATCACAAACTGAGACGACCTTCCGTCATTTTCCGCAGGTTCCGTCATGTCGTTGGTTGGGGTACATCTGGATGTGGGGTTCGCTCTAGACTAGGAGTCCTCCCAGTTCGACCCTCCTGGAAGAAGAGGAAATAGACCAGTCTACCTGTTGCTTGCGGGGTCTACCCGTTGGTTGAAATACACACCCATCTCCCTATCGCGTGGTGAAAACAGGAGCTGAATGGTCGGATCAACGGCCATGACACCTCTGCACGAGGTGCGAGGGATGGACCGAGGGGATGGACCGGGTGGTTCGATCACGAGACTGTTCGAACCACCTCGGGGGTGTCAATTCGGGTACATCGTTTGGACTGCTCAACGACCCCTGCGATCCGGACTGTCTCCTGTGCAGAAGGTGGGGCCAGACAGTTCATCAACATACGTCCGCATTTGTTTGACATGAAGGCGTTGCTTCATGTTGATTGCAAGGGTGTTGTTTGAGAAGATGTTTTGACTTGATCCGATTATTTTCGTGATTTTGCGCCGAGAAACACACATTTTGCCGACAGTTTTTGTTCAGATCGCATCCAAATGAGAGAAAAGCGATCATGTTTTTTTTGGTCGTCAGGTCATGGGAACTAATGAAGGCCATGTTTGGTTGAGATACATGTTTTTTTGGAATAGATCATACTGCCAGTTCGTGCGAGTTGAGTGCTGTTGGCTGTTGCTTGATTTTGGGATATGGATTGACGTGGAGAAGCTCACCAATCTGGCTCAAGACTCAAGCTACAGCCACCTATCCTGTGACACAAGCTTCTGGCAACACAGTGATAGGTGCCGTGGCATGCCGATGCGCATCCTCCTTGCTTTTGCTGACCATTGGCTACCTGGAAGAACTTGGTGTACTGCAAGTCTGGAAGAGGATCCGAGTACACCACGAGGATCCGAGTACATCTTCAGTGTTGGCCCCTCCCGCGGAACGAACAGCGCAACCAATTGAAAAGCACGAGAGCGGTATGGAGCGGTCGGGGCACCGCTTTCCCAACAGCGAGTCAGAGGACGGTATGGTGACTACTTGCCTGGCGTCAGCTTTCTGCGTTGTGCTTGGTAAGGCAATGTCATGAGATTTATTGTTTTTTTAAATGGTTTTTCTCCTGCTTAGTAACTGTCAGGAGACACCTTTTGCAGGAAGCGTCGTTGCGGGAAGCGCTGTGCAGAGCCTCCTGTTTTGGTGGGTTGCTATGAGTGGTACTGCTTCCGCGAGGAGTGTAACCCCAATTAGGTGCAATGCGGCTGGTAGCCACATGTAGCCACCTAAGCGTGGCTCACTTCATCGCCAATTTAATGTTGGGTCACTGAGAAGCAATTTGTTTGTTCTTGGTGGCAAGGAGATTGTGCAGTATAGAGATGTGTAGAGGATGGGCCCAGGAAGGGCCTCATAAGTCTGCTGAATTGTCCACCAGAATCAACCTGATTGAAGTTGGTGGACACAGAGACACCTGCTCTGTTGGTGCATCCTACAGTATGTTCCAGCAAGGTTTGGCATTGGTGAAACACATCGAGAAACAGTCGAGGCACAAAAATTGGCAAACCATGACAAACCTCCTTTAGACCATGTTCGAACAGGATTCGTAAGGTCCATAGTAGATGGCACTTCAGTTGGGGATCTAGTCCTAGCTGTCCTAGCTATGGTCAGAAAACGCTGGACTGCACGCTCAAATACGCTCACCAGTGAACTGGGGATTTACGCCATTTGCACGGCAAATCACAGTAATTGTCATCATCATGCCAGGAGGCCCTTTCACTTTGCTAGGTCTTATTTTTCCTTGCAAGAACAAATGGGGGCACTTGGATTTGTACTCTAATAGGGCGACCCCAATCGCCCCAATGAGTAGACTGGTCTACTTCCCCAACCTTCCAAGGGGGGTCGGAACACTTGGGAAGTCTGCCTCTTTTGAATGCGGCTTCGCTCGTGTGATCGTTTGATCGTTTCACAGGTCCGCCTGCTCCGCTGCCCGCAGACGTCATGGGCGGTGTTTGGCAGGAGACAGATGTGCGGATGGGTCAAAAACCACTCTTTCAACCTGGAGGCCGACCTCCACCATTTGCCGCGAATGACCTCCACTCATCCAGGTAAGATCAGGTAAGTCGTGCCCGGTCGGTATAACTAGTGGTGCCTAGCTCCCCACAGCCGGCCATGTGTTTCAGCCTTTCAACCGAAGAAGATCAACGACCCTGTCGTGCCGGATCAGTTCGGACCTTTTGGAGGGACAGCGGGGCCTCCGGTCTCCTTCTTTGGGGCCTCCAGTTCCATGTTCGTCAGGGTGTGGGGTGGCAACCGTGGAAGAAGCTCACGTGGCCAATAGATGTTAATCGAATTCAACCAAGTTTGGGGCCAAGTGAGCACACACACATGTGTAGCACAGGCATGAAAGCTTGCTTCACTTTGCTAGTTGATGATTCTTGACTCCTTGACCTGTGGGACCCTTGTCTTCGGTTGTCTAGTAGCGACCAGCTTTCTGATTCTATCCCAGACAAATTCCACTGTATTACTGTATCTCTCTGGTGACACCCAATATTCTGCGGTCATGGACCACGATGGGATCAGACGTATGTCTTTCGCACTTTAGTCATTCATTATCATCCTGTTTCTCTGTTCTTTGCCAGCAAAGTTCTTCTTATCTCTGCTTTGCAGATTGGTTGAGAGGTGCAATTGACAGTGTGGTCAACCAAAGCTGCACACGAGCTGTGCTATTCAATGTGCATCTTCGATGCGTCTTGGAACAACCAAGGTCAGAGCGTATTTTTCAATATAAAACTCTGAATTTTCTTTTTGCTCCTCAGCAACTATATGTCACAATTATCGAAAACGGGTAGAAACCGTCCGTTCATGGGTGGGACCGTCGTGCTACCTGTTTTTGGTGTTCCAAAACTTGTCGGTGCATGTCGGTGTAGCGTTCCGACCTTGGCTTTTCATTGTGTTCCATTGGGCTGCCTTCCGCCGCATTCACTCTACATGTGATCTTTCCTAACTGTCTACCCTTGAACATCTTGAAAGGACAAATTCCACCAACTTGGCGGAACATCGTCAATGAACCGAAAGAGCTTCAATCAAGTTCATCACAAGAGCAATCAACGACAAGCAGAAGTTCGTCATCGACAACGAACCTCAACGATCGCGCAGGGGGTCGTCTTTTCCCCAAGACTCGAGTAAGCGTCCTAGACTTCCTGGGAAACGCTTATCAGACGTCTCCTCTTGGGGTGACGTCTTCTCGTCACGTCTCGTCCATCTCGCCGCTGACGCTGGCTCCGCGGCCAGGATCCCGTCGCGCCCGCTCGGTCCGCTCCTCCTGCGCCGCCCCTCCCAGCGCCCGCCGCGCGGGGGGGCGGCGAGGGCGACCGTTCAGGCGCCCTTGACGATCCGGGTGCCAATTCCAAAGGCACCGTTTCCACCGCCCATGCCAAAGCAGGCCGTGGGCGCCAAAGAAACGAACGTGGAGGGAGAAAATGAGTCCATTTAAGAACATGTTCTTGAACAGCCTTCCTCATCTTTCCAACTTCTCATAATTCCTCCAGGATTTTAACTGGAAGATGTTTTTTCAGGCGCACACCACTTTTGTCGTATTATTTTCTGCCGAAGCCATTGTCAGCGCCACAGCTCCCTGCAGAAGCCGGGGAGTTGGCTTTTGGGCAAGTAGTCTTCCTTCGTCTTTCGTGGCACCTCTGGTTTTTCGCACGACCATGCGGCTCCAACACCTAGCGGTGTTCTACATGCTTTGGGCGATCCGGGCACTGCCGGGGGATGAAGAGATCCGACAACAGCTTCGCGCCCGGCATGGACTGAAGACGTTTCCTTGCCTTGTGAAGGAATGCCTGAAGCCAACTCGATCCTCGATCTGAGCTTGTGATGGTGACCATGAACATCTATGTGCCGTGTTTTCTTCTGTTTTCTTGGGGGTTGCAACACAGTTCGGATGAGTAGATGCACAGTAGATGGACCATGAAAGGAGATCCCGGTGTCCCAGTAGTCGCAGTGTGGGAATCAGTCGGTCCCCTTTCAAGAGGACATCACTGACGATTTTACGAAATGCAGACTCTTGACCTATAAAATCCCCCCCGAGGCAGAAGAGGTGTCACAATCCACTTAAAGGGGAATGCAAGGGGGGGTGATTTTTCGACCATGCACCGTGCGCCGTGGCGTGGCGTGGCTGTGGATTCCCACAGCTTGGCCAAGCTGCGCGGGTTTGGGTTCGGGCTGTGAGGTCTTTTGGACCCGGGACACGGCGGGTCGAGGGCGGTGGTCGAATTGGAGCAACCAACTCCCTGCAGTCGAACGGATCGTTAGATCACGCTGCTCCTGGTGAACAGGTGAGAGATGAAGGAGATGTTTGGGGGAAGAAGGGACGTATGATGTTTTTACATGCCTACAGAGCTTAAGTGACCGTAAATAGGACCCGTACTGCAGGGGTACCCTAAGGCATGGGAGAGTCGAACGTTCGGGTTTTATGACCCACCTCTGGTGAAAACCAGTTCGAAATGACTCAAGCCATGACATGCTTTTGGTTCAGCCATGACAGTTCCCATCCCTCCGGACGAGTTCCGCCAGGACAGTTTGAACGGATTTCTCCGACCCAGCCGGGCTACCAGTGGGAGGACCCGGAATGGGATGGTGGGGCCTCCATAAACACGTAGGTTGCGTGGCACGAGCCGAGCGCCACACCATGGAACACATGGGAAGTGGAAGATGTTTCTCGTTTGTCTCAGAAAGAAGGTCATAAATTCATTCTTCCCTTGGGAGAGAAGACCTCTTCCACTTCCATGCTAGTCAGTTGGAGTGCAAAGGCAGGAACCCTCGGAAAAGCACCCATGATCTTCAGCAGAGCACAACCCGTGGGGCGTGACCGTCTCTGTGTGAGGGAACACGGACCCTCAGTGTTCCTGACCCTTGTTGCACTATCGCGATTGCCTGAACTTCACGTCGGATCGTGTTTTTCCGCGAGGATGCCGGTGGTTTCTGTGGCTCCTGGTCGATTCAGCGGGCGGTCATGGCCAAAGGTGCCTGGATTTCCCAGCAACAAGTGAGAAACCACACTGTGGCTGGTGGTGGTCATGATGAGGAGAGCCTTGGAGCTTGCGACGGATCCGACGGATGGATGGAAAACACATCCAGCGGAGGTCGAACACTGCCCGATGTTCTACAGTGGGAAGCCTAAACATGCCTAGCCTGATGACTTGAAAGGATTGAAAGAATGAGACACCCATTGCAGGAATTTGAGGGAATCATGTCTTCCTTTAAACTATCCATGTGTCTATGTTCCCTTATAAGTCACACCTATACCTATAGATCGACCACACATGCACGAGCCCACGGGCGGGTTTGAATAAGATTGTCTTTGACCTTCAGAAAACATATCTCAGACACGACTAATGGGACTGCCATATATGAATATGCCGCCCCATTGACTCCCTTTCAACGACCCCTGGCCTGATCGGCAGTCCGAACTGGCAGTCCCATGGAGTGTTGGGGGTATTGGACTGGGTCTGTGGGATTTTGCTGTCGCTAATGCACGCTATATTTGAGTTGGGTTCGATTGAGTCCCGGCCCAAGGGTTCGCGGTTTGCGTCCAAAATGCTGGAAAAGCCAAACTTTATCCAGCATTGCTAACCCGTACAAAGCCTTCGTTAAATCATGTTTAGAAGAACACCGTGGTATTCCTAACCCGTGTCAAACCCGTGTCCTTGTCCTGGTGTCAACCCCTTCACGAACGTCGTTCACCACAGACTTTTAGCCGCTAAAACTGGCAACATCGATCAACATGATCCCCAAACCTCCAAACATGTAAAAGATTTCTAATTGAAAGACATCGTTTGCTTGAAGCTGGCGTTTTCTGTGAGTTTGGTTGGGGAAGGTATATATATATATATACGTATATACAAATAGATAATATCACCCGTTCGTGTGTGTGTGTGTGTGTGTCACCCTCTGTTACTAAGAGCTTCCCACCTAGCACTTGGACTTTTGCAGGGGGCATGGCAGCCGTTTCCCTAGGGAATGTGGACGCACATTCCTGTACCTGCAACCACAACTTTTGATTAAGCTGTGACTCCACTCTTTCCTTGTTTGTTTCCATGGTCCTTTCATGCTATTCCCCTAAACCTTTCCCAGATACTCGTGTCCGATTTCAGCCGCTTGTGAGCTGCCGCTGCGTCTCTGCAGATGCGAGAAACATTTTTTCAAACACCTTCAAGTTTTTGGACTCTCCACCTTGCCGTTGAGCCATTCCTTTCAGTGTGGAACAGATGTAACTGCAAGCCCATTATCTAAGTGTGCGCTTGATGTGCACAATGGTCTTCACACCAGAGCTGGCTCTGGTGGCGAACTCGCTTGCGTCGTATCCGGCACATGCACCCAAGGGTCCTTGCCACAAACATTGACACAGCTTTCAAGAATCTGAAGATTGCAGCTGAAGGTCGAATCGTGGGTTTTAACAAACACTTTCACGTATTTTGCTGGAGAACAGACGGACCGTTGGCGGGGACACCAGCTTTCGCATGCTTTCGTTGGGGCACCTTGGTCTGTCGGAGAAGGCCCAGCAACATGAGAAAACAGCTGGAGCTGCTCAGGTTTTTGACTGAAGTGCTCGATGTTGACATGTGTTCGAGGTTTTCACACAAACTGGAACTACCGTCGTGGCAATATATATATATATTACAGTATGTACCTGGTTCTTCAAAGTGACCTTTTGATAACCTGGTTTGAGATCACTTGAGCCTCCTAAGGGTCACTTAGGAACCTTCAAAAGGTCACTTTGAAGAAACTTGTATATATTATATATATATATATATTTATATTTATATAATGCCATATTGCATGACTCTGAGGCTTCGACTACAAGAATCTCCCCGTTCCGCAGGTGGACTTGTATCGAAAGTGGATCAAGAAGCAGCTTGTGAACGGTCATGCGCTTGTCGGTTCCTTAAGGATTTGGTTAGTGACTTAGTGATTGCTAGCGGCCAAGCAACAGATTGCAGGGAAAAAAATGCTATCATAGTCGTATGACTCGTTTGCTGTGCATTGATCATATGATCAGCCATGACACATCATGGTGGCAAGGTTTGGATGATCATGTTGGATGGTGCGCACTATCCAGTTTACCCTGGACTTCCTTATGGGCTATATTCCCATGTGGAGCCCGTGGTTGGAATCCTTTCTGATCATCCCTTGACCGATGAGAACTTCTATGACGACGATGTGGTTCTGCACTATACAGATGTGCCTGGGAATCAGTGTATCGTTAGCAGGTGTTTATTGGCAGGATTGGCCAAAGAGGCGATAGAGGTGAAACATGGTGAAACCCTTGTCTTGTTCATGTTTTTGAGGAATGTTTTGAGGGAAACTCGTTGGGAGAACGGATGTAGCGGCCTGTAGCGGTCGGAACTGACCCATCTTCACTCGACTATGGCAGGGTGAGATTGATTTCTTCACTCGCGTTACGCGAGTGGGGTAAAATCAGCATGAAAACAGCTCAAAGACACAGATGGGGACAGTTGGTTTTTTTTTAGGCGCCTGTAGCGGTCGAAACATGTTTCACCACCTCTCCACCCAGGCCCCCGAAGTCTTTTGGGGTGGTCTACGGGTACCCCAGACCCTCTAAGGAGCTCAACTTCGATACCCCTTCGAGGGCCCTAGGTCCAGACTTGGTTTCGCATCGATCGGGGCACCAGTTGGTTGGTTGAAAGTGCCAGGTCAGAGGACCGCTGGTCGTCGGTGGACGCGTCAATCCATGAGCGTGGTGCGTGCGAGTGTGGTGCGTGCTGGAAGTCGTTCGAACGAGTCGGTTCGAACGAGTCGGTTCGAACGAGTTCCAAGTGACCCGCCTTGTCAGGCGGACACCCACACCTACTACCGAACCATGGCCAGCCTGCCGGGAAGCTATAGAAACTTTTCCCACTGTCCAGGTCATGATTATGTTGGTGGCCTGGATGAAGCAGCAAAGATATGGGACGGCCAGTAGGACGGCCCCTTGAGATGTGACCAGTAGGACGGCCCTTGCAGGCATGCAAATCATTGATCCTGTGCACTGCAATGATCGCCTTTTACTATAGGGCACTATAGTCAATCATTGGAAAGTGCGGAGACATAAGTCATAGATGGAATATGCAGGCACGCATGTTTTGGGTAGCCGCGCCTGTAAGGCCCCCGGGCATGGGGTGGGGTGGGGTTCTATTGACGTCACTTGTACTTGCAAAAATACTTGACGCTACGTCAGGTGAGCGTGTGTTCGTACCCATTGTGTCCGTGGACCTTTGGGCTGTTCTGGTTGTTGGCGGCTTCCGGACGACTCATGCAGTCAGAACTGTTCGAAACTGTACGTAGCGAAACCATCCTAAGTGCTGAAGGTTCCGAGCAACCCCAAAACAGCACTTTTGCCACCTCCCCAAAAAACACCCTCCGTGTAAGAACATCCAAAACGTTGGAAACTACACAATTCCTACAAAACAAGACGTTTAAAAAACACCACAAACGCACGGCCCCTTTTGGCGCGCGCCTACCATGTCTTTGGGTTGTTCATTCTGACATTGCCACACTCAGTCAATGTCAGTCACTACTCAATCTGTCTACTGTAACGTACCGATTTTGCTTGGTACTCATATGGTACCCTTTAAGCCTTTGCTCATCTTTGCTCTCCACGAAGAGAGCAACAGCTGCAACGGCACATACAGCCCGGCAGCCGGATCTTGCAGGATCATCAGGTTGTGTGACAATCACGAAAAGGTAGCCTGGTAAGGGCTACCTGGCTACCTTTGCGAAGCAAAGGGGTAGCTTGAACAGCCTGCTCGGGACCAAATATATAATGATATATTTATATATAATATAAATTGTATATGTTGTATATTATATATATATTATATATATTAATATATATATATATATGTATACATCATGATTTAACAATTCTATAGACTGTCTCTGATTGATCAAGCGCCCGATCCTTCCACAAGGGTCTTCAAGGGTCAGACGTGCGGGGCAGCAATGATTTTCGAGTGAACACACCACCTGACCGTTTGGCGACGATACACGTCCCTGACCATCCATTCATGTATGGTCTATTTACATCAATTTACATCAACTTACGTACATTGGGGTAGTTTCAGGGGTCAATGAAGGCATATTTATTACATACATGGATGGTCTGGGTGTCCATCCCGGACTTGCACGATGAACATGTGGGAGCGCGCCACGGCCAAGTATGGCCAAGTGACTCAGGTTACCCGTGCATCAACCAGGAGCGTGGATTTGGATGGGCCATCCAAGGCTTTCTGGACAAGGAGACTTGGGATCGCTTTTGGATGCTGTTTGCCTGCTGTCCAGAAAGCTGTGGTTTTCACAGTGTTTTCATGTGGTTTTTTGCTTTTGGTTTTTGGACCGAACTGCTTTCCCACACTTCAACGCCTTGTCTTTGGCATCCAGTAAATCCTTTCACTTCAACAGATCCTGGATCAATCAATGATCTCAGCTGATGCCAACTACTGAGCTCAGGATCATGTCCATCCTACGCGTATTGTGTCTTTATATTTACTGTATCAGACATTCGTGAATGAATACTCGGGCGACTCATCTACCAAAGACAACAGTTCGATACCAATTCCAATGCTTTTTGGTTGTGGGCTTAGAGACTTAGAGATCCGCAGACTATGTCCAGAGTCCAAACCCTGGCCCCGGCTATCAGGGTCAACCCAGGGTCAATGAGGGTCCAGCCTGTGCAGTCGTGATAGTATTGCTCGCTTCCTTGGATCCTCAGTGACTGATTTCCGCTGACTCAGACCTTCAAGATGGTGCAGCTGGCATGATTTCCTTCAACCGTCAGGTCTAGCCAAGGCATGACAATCCGCCCATCCTCCGTCTCTGTCCCAACCCGCCCATCTCTGCACGTCAGGAGAGCCGTCCGCTGGCCCTCTCCATCGACCCGTGGCAATCAGAGCCTGACGTCCGCAGAGGTCGGAAACGGCACCGTCCGCAGAGGTCGGAAACATCACATAGCAGTCACAGTAGGGCCAAAGAACCAACACGGTGGGCCATGTCATGTCCTGTTTCTACAGTATTTGTTTGGTCGGAACTTGGGCTAGAATGACAATGAACAAACTTTTGTTGTGGATGTTCTTGGGCTCACCTCGATTGGGGCATCCAGACTTGAAAGACCACAAATCATGGTTCATCCGTATGATCCACACCGACGCTCGTTTTTGGGTCCCGGTCCGGCTCCAGGTGACCAGCCATCCCAGCTCACGGGTACCCTGACGGCGTCGGGTCTTACAACAGGGCATCAGTATGCATCTTGGCGGAAGGGAGTGATGCTCAGGCAGGTGGGTCGGTTTCAGCACATGCGTTGAGGCTCACGGAGCTGGAAGGAGTCGTGGAATGGCTCAGGTGCACACGGAGGTTGGCACATGGAATGGCTTGGTTGGGTTCAATGGAGGGTCCAAAGCTTGAACTCGGCAACCTGGTCTTCACTCACCGGTGTTCAACCAGGGTGTCCCGGTTTTGACCCATTGCCATATCAAGGCCGCTACTCTTCGGAGCCTGCTAGTCTGATGTTTGATTCTGGTCCTGAAAGGCCACTGCCTGAGAAAGGATGCTGACCAACGAATCGGAACAAAACCTGTCGTAGAACTCTGAACTCTTCGTTTTCACGCACTGAAACGGCGGGGACACTCGCCAGTGGTGCGAGATAGTTTTCTGGAGAAGGAATGTCTCAGAGGCACAGGCCCAAGCCATCCATGGGTCTGGAATACTATATATATATTATATATATGATTATATGTGCCATGATTTTCAACTGAATAACTGAGTTGGTACGGCGTTGCTGCAATGTAGAAACATTTATATTCATACTTCCATACTGTGCGTTCGTCAAAGAAAGAGAGTTTCCAACATGGAAGTCACAGGTCAGGCTCCCTACTTCAGATGAGTTTTCTTCCTTAACCACGCTCCCCGCGTGGTTCTTTGTTCATTCAGGTCCCCCTTTGTGGCTAGTGGGTTCAGAGGCTCGATGGCACTTCTTCCCCAAGGTCGGTGGTTTGTACTTCACCCCCATGTCCTTCAGGACATGGAACGGGGGTGGGTTTGTGCCATTTCGAGCCTCTGATGGGCCCACTGTATGTCGTAGCATGGCCCACGCATCGTTTGACTTCTGGGCCTCGTGGAGCGGTCCTCCATCGTCTCCGCTTGTCCACGGTGACCGGGTGACTGCGACGGGTAATCCGTCTGATCAGACAGAAAGCGTTGGGGTTCGCCTTGAAAGTGTTGAGGTCAAACATTGAAGCATGAGGAACTGAAACCCAGCACCACGGAAAGCGTGTCCATTAATAGCCCCTTAGAGGTCAAGGGGTGTTCCAGGACTGTTGGATTTCCAGCAGTTCGCTGCGTAACCGCCACTGAAACTGATCTACCGGAACATGCCAAAATATGACACTGATAGAGTTAGAGGGGAGAAACCTTATTGACTGTAATTTGGCCAACCATCCTTTGTACCGGACGTTGTTGGGAGTCAGCTTGGCTCAAACTCGACACTAAACGTACTGTGCGCCAGGATGTCACTGGTATTTAATTAGGCCTGTAATTAATGACCAAGAGCTGCGGATGGTGGTCTCTATGAATGCTCTATACTGTATACTTCTTAACACTGCTAGTTTCTGGCCTAGCAAGGTCCAGCTTGACTGAATCTGGATCTGCTCTGTCCAAGCCTTCCGAACCTGCTCGCCCCGGCACTCACCGCTCGCGCTGCGGAGACGCCACGTCGGTCGGTGCCGGTCGGTCCAGGTGCTCCTCCGCTGGGACGGCGTCCTGGACGCCTTCCAGGACGAGAAGGCCACCGTGGTGTACCGCTTCACGGCACCTCCGACCGAGCGGTAGAACGGTACGTACTGCAGCGGGGGCGGCGTGGGGTGAGGTTTGAGACCGGTCGAGAAGACCGGTTCCAAGGGCTTGAAGAAGAGATGGTTAGCAATCGAAATGAGTGGGGTTTGTTCATCAAGAGTCTACACATGGTCTATCACATTCATGTAGCCAGGATGAACTGGAACGCACGTGACTGGGCATCAAATTGCGAAGAGGCCCGCTGTCATGCGGGAAGTACACAACTTACATGCCATCTTGGTGCTCATCATCATGTTTCTGAACGCCTGTCGGAAGACGCTTGTGTCTAGCGTTGTTTAACATCGTACCAGTCCTCCCCAAATGCAATGGCTTGAGATATGCAACTTTTCCGGGACGCCTCTTCCGTCTGTTCTGTGTCCTGTCTTGCGGATGCCTGCGGGAATTGTCGTTACTCACCACAGTGCCACAGTGGACAAACCAGTTAAAGTTTGAAGGGCATCAGGCCCTTGGCCATGGATGTGGATTCTGGAGCATCATCTAAGCCGTTGACCCATTTCTTTCGTCCAACAACACATGGGTACACATGGTCGCCAATTCCGTGATGTTCTAGCTGGTGAAATTTGAACGCGAGACCGAGTTCACCTGGTGCGGCGATGTCCTCCGCGCTTGGCCAAGGCATCCAAGGACACAGAGCAGTACACGGACCCAAGGACCTTCTCGAGTGATAGTGCCACTTACTACCGATGTCGTGAGGACACGGAACAGCTGGTGATGGTTTGAGCAAGAAAAGAAAACACGGCTGAGCACGGCTGCGTTGTTGTTGTTGTTGCTGCAGTGCATGTGAATCAACTGTCAAGGCTTTCCTGTTTGGGTGGTATTGAACCCGGATGATTATCCCCCAGTCATTCCCCATCGATTCTGCTTTCACGAGCCACCCGCAAGTTCTGCGCTTCCTCAATTTGTCCAGGATCCAACTAGTCTCCTGCAGAGAAGTTTGCTCGTTACTGTAGTTCAAACTAGACCCCACCATACTCAACTAAACCATGGTACGCCATTTGGTGTAGATTAGATTGGATGACAACGGCATCATCTTCGTCAAGGAGTAGAGGTAGGATCATACATCTCTGTGTTTGTGTGTGTTTGTGGGATTATTATTAAACACAATGTATCATACAGTATCATACATGTCTTGTGTTTTTCGATCAATGTTCGATCAATTTTTGATCAGCTGTCTCAAAGGCAGCGGCTTCGCTGGACGCTCTTTTGCCCAGCGTCGCGCTTCGTCCAGGCAGCGCCCAAGCCCTCGGCACGGCCCTCGACACGGCCGCCTGCGCCGGTTGTGGCGCCGGCTCCGGCGCCGCGGCCGAGCATGAGGAGCTCCTGGGGAGGCGCACGAAATCAGCCTTGGGGAGGCTCAAGGGAATTCACAGAATCAAAGGATGACAGAAGGATGATTTAGTGGGTGTTGGAATCTGGATATTCATATACACTGATGGGAGGCATCCAGCTTGAAACCAAGAGCTGAAATTGAAATTCACTTGTCTTTGTTTGTTCTGAGCAGTACTTGGTGTTCATTGGACACCCTCCAAAGGAAAGTTTAAGTTGGCAGTGGCATACTGTTTCTTTCGTTCCACCACTGACTTGGCAACTGGTGGGTTCCTGTAGAAGGTGAACCGCTGCATAGGTGTTTGGGCTGTTTTCGATGACGTGCCTGTCAGCTAGGTCCCGTCTCGGTCCGAGACGTTGTCCCAGCACGGGACGGAGGAGGAGGAGGTTTCCCTGCGGCAGTCCTGCTTTCATGTGTCTCACACAGTCGTCCATTTGCACCGGTCGTGCACGTCAGTTGTTCACCGCCTGACGCATGGGGTTCTTCGTTCTTCCATGTGGAGCCGGGCCGCCCCCCTTTTGCACACTTGAGGCGAATCGCCCCAGGGTGGAGAACGGATCCCAGGCATCGATGCAAGGAATGATTGATACTACAACCCCCTATATCTTGTGGATGCTTTGGACAACATGTACAATTACTGTATATGGCTTTGAATACATCAGCTTACATTTTCGCACATCCCCGCATGTTGATGTGGTTGGTCAGCACAGCTCCTTTTGTGGCCGACACGACACACGTCACATCTGGTTTGGTGTTTCATCTCGAGCCGTCTCGAGCTCTATGTTGGTTGGAAAATTCGATCTGCTCACAGGTGCCCCAGGGCAGTGCTGGCAGCGGACCTGACAGAACCATCGAAAGAAAAAACGGCCGCGAGCAGATGGTGCATGTATCGAAATGTCGCAGAGAGAGCAAGAATTGACGTGATGAGTCATATGCTGGATGAGCCCTTTGCGCAAGCATTGCTCGTACAGAAGGCTGGCTCAAGGGTAGAAGGGCTCACATGGTGGAAGGTACAATATTAAATTTAAAGCAAATGTGTGCGTGTGTGTACATTACCATTGATGTTCTTTCATGAGAGTTCTGTACCATTGTCAGCAGCTCATTGTTTGCATCAAGTTGCACCATCGAAATTCCGGCAATGTTGATTTTCCGAAGCTTTCTCAGATCGGGGCGCGCTGCTGTGCAAAGCAGGTGCTGCTCCGGCACCCGAAGTCAGACCCAGTTGTTATCGAACACTGAGCCCTGCTTCTATGGGCATGCAAATCCAGAGTGCACTTGTTCCAGATTTGTAAGCTCATCTCATACATCGGTGGCAGGGTTAAAACTTGAGCCCTGTTGTCCATTTTGGCTCAAGTGTTGCCCTGCCAGGGTTCCTGCTATTTCCATTTGTCCGCGCCGATGGAAATCCCAGATCCAAGCAGCTTGGCCGAGGCGAACATATGGGTACAGCGATATGGGCCTGTCTCCACTCCAACAGCATCGGCTGGAGATTGGAAAATCTGGCCGCATATGCAATCCAAAGAGGCCTGGCACCAGGCAATGGGCACGCGCGGTGGTTTGATGGCCAAATTCTTAGAGGCAAGAGGCATTTTCATGGATGGCTGTCAGATTTGTCATGAGTTCAACCGATCCACGCAGTCGAACTTCGAGGGGCATGTAGGCGGGAGAGCGCACTTCAAGCACTGGTGCCATCTTTGTTGCCGAGAGGATGCAAAGGACATGAGTAGCTTCCGAGAAAAGTGGTGGGAGGAGTGGATTGTGAAGGGAAGCGCCATTCGCTTCAACCACGCAGATGGTGTCGTGGAGCTCCGGAAGAATTACCCTTCCATCCAACCAAGCCCAAGCCAAGCAGCTTCAGGATCTATCCCAGCACCACCATCCCCAGTTGAGTTCACACCAGACTCAAGCAATGTCGTGGCCTTGGCCTTGCAGAATCCTGGCAATGTTTTCAGCCTTTGCCTTGAGGAGAACGTCTACTACCTCCTATACTCGCACGTGGGGGGGTCCAACTGCTGAGGGTGGTGACCTCTCCAAGTGCCCCTGGCTGCATACCAAAAACACTTGGAGGCCAGTGATGCAACCAAGGGCAGAGTTGGTGGAAAAGATCCTTGAAGCCTTTGATGTCTATTATCCTAAGTGCCTGCTATGCACCAACCCTGGTGGCTTTGCAGAGCATTTGCCTGCTCAGAAGCATTTGCGTCAACTGCAGGATCGCCTCCCGACAGGGAAGCCGGTGACAGAGCTGGCAGCTCAATTTTGGCAAGAGTGGATCTTACCCTTGGGGATTCTTCGATTCAATCATTTGCATGGGCAAGTGTGGATTTGCCGTGGGAAGGCACCACGACAAGCAAAACCCATGCCCTTTCCGAGCTCTTCAACTTCCAATGAAGCTCAACAAGGTCCTTTGTCTTCCAAAGCACTACGAAGTCCACCGATGCCGAGCTCAACCTCCCCACAAACTCCGTCGCGGCCCGTGCCCACCAGAGCTGCGGCGCATGGTGTGGAGGATCCGCAAGACCTGGCAGTGGAAGGGGTGTGGTTTGTCAGTTATCCACCCTGTAGCGAAGCCACGCAAGTTGATGGTGATTACAGGGCATACCCTCACTTGTGTGGAAAAGCGCAATTTAAGAAATGTATGACTCCTCGTGCTGGTGTCATTGAACGGATCCTGCGCTCGCAAGCTATTCCACGGGAGCCACAATGCACTCTATGCGAACGACATCGAGGAGCCCCAAGCCACAGGATTAGTTCTATATATGACTTCTTTGATCGAAGTTTTGTGCTGTTTTTCGGTTGATAGAGGTACAAGATACACGCAGAAGATAGACATGTGAGAGATATACACGACCTCGCCAGTTTGCCAGTCCAAGTTTTCGATTCAGTCACCGGCTATAACATGTTAAAATTTACTACTGAGCGCGTTTTGACCGTGGAATCTGCAGAACCGCCCAGAGTTTCCGCGCTTTCGGGCAGTGGATTTCTCAAGGTAATGGACTGGAAATTTAGGCAATGACTATAGGTTCAACCATGCAGCCGGCTTCATTTCCGGATTTACAGAAAGAATCGTGTTGGTATACCGACTATCCTGACACCACCTGCCTGACACTTGTTCGGGCACCAGTGCAGTCTGTTTGTTCCGACGCGTGTTCTAACATGTGCCTCAGCATTAATCTGACACTTTTCTGGCATTGTGTCTGACAAGTGTTCCAAAATATGTTTGGCATGTGTCTGGCATGTATTCTGACGTCAGTTCCGACATTTGTCTGGTCTGTGTAATGTGTTCTGGCGTGAGTTCTGGCAAATATTTGCCCGGCAAATGTTCCGACAGATACGCGTTCTGGCGTGCGTTCTGACATCAGTTCTGACATGATTGCCGTCTGACAAGCGGTCCGACGGTTCTGAGTAGAACCTGACATCATCTGACAGTCTTTCTGGCACATATTCGGGCATTCGTCTATCTGCCTTTATCCTTTGAAGTCTTCTGACTACTACTCTGACAGTCTATCCGGGGTCGTCATTTTCTTCCGGATATTTTTTCTCTTTTTTGCATGCGATCTTTGAGGATTTGGTTTCTTGTTCTTTTGTTGCTGTTGTTGCTTAGTTGCTTGTGGTGCTCGCTGTTGCTATGTTTGCTTGCGTTGCTAATTTATGCTTTTGGTGCCGGCGTTTGGCTTTTGTTTCCTTGCGTTTCTGTTTCGGTTGCTAGTTTTTACTGCTAGTTGTTCGTTTGGGTTCGCTCAGAGGGAAAAGGCACTACCCCCCAACGCAAACCTTCAAGTGCATTCCATTTCTGCGCTCAGGATCGAAATTGCTGGAGGCAAGCCTCCAACGTAGCATACCTGTAGTGGGCCAACCAAGTGTAAAATTTGGATCAGGAAGAATTTGTGAGGAGTCATTCCAATGTAGCATCCATTCCTTGCCTGACAGTCATCCTTGCAACGTTTTGACTAGCATGCGTAATTGTGGACGACTTCTAGTTACGATGCGTTGGTGCGATTTCCTGTGGGGTCCAAACAGCCTAGCGGTACCGTTACGCAAGAAAAAGACATAGGGCTTGCTCAGAGGTCTCTGTCAAAACTACAAATAGACATCGTCATATTGCACTTGTTGTTAAAACGCGTTCTTTGGCCAGCTGTTGCGCCTGTTCCGCCCTTGGCTTTGAAGCCTTCAAGTTTGGGATGTTCTTGCAAACCATTATGCCCAAGTTTTTTCAATTTGTGGCGTTCACGCATGCAGGCTATCAAGAGCACCTGGGTGCTGCTAAGCATTGGGATGCCCTTTATCCATACGCCAGGGAGGGTGTTTGCATCGAAGCGGTCCGCGACAGGCTGTGGAATACGATGATGGTTTCTGGTGGCTGGGTGAGAATCAATGAGTTGGACGGCGCCATCGAGATTGCCAAAGGCTCAAAGGAACCTGGAACACGCAGCACTGTGAACGCTGAAGGGCCACCTGCAATACAACAAGGCCGCGCAGGGAATGCGCAGGCTGGAGCTTTTCAAACTGCAATGCCTTTGCGCACCGCAGCGCCAACCTGCAACTCATCAAGCACAACGGCTGCTTCCAGTCTTCTTGGACCACCCTTAAGTCAACCAGAACCCGCTAATTCCGATAGAGCCACGGAGAGATGGAAAGGCTGGAGTGGAACATCGCAAGGAGCTGGCCGAGACGAGGCCTTTTCAGATGTTGTTTCTTTGGCTGATGAGAGATTTGAGGTAGGACCTGTCCTTGGATCGGACGAAGTTGGGCGTTGGAGGTCCAAGTGCTTGCGACTGTACCAATCAAAAGCCCAAGCTGTTCAAGACGAGCTGCGCAAGTATGATTTGCACCCAGGCCAAATTCGGTGTGATGCTTGTGGAAAGCAGCTCGCCATCATGGAGTTTGCCAGTCACTTGAGGAGCCAAGATCATTTCAACCAGATTCATGTGGGTGATGCCGGTGCGGAGGACCCACAGCAGGTGTTTCAGGCTGGCAGTTTGCGTTTGAAGCTTAACCTTGCCGACCTGGACATCACTGTGGAGAAGGTCAAACAGAGCCCAGACGGATGGGAGATTGTTTAAAATTACAGTGGCCTGCTGAATGTTGTATTGAGGTATACTAAGTTCATATTGCTTGATTGATCAGTTTGGACGGGGCTTGACTCGCTTGCAGCAACACACACACACGTACTGACCTACCCGGGAAAAGCTTGCAAGCGCGACGGCAATCCCGCCCTTAAACTTCATTGGGGGGTTAACAGGGATGATGCCCCAACAAAGCCCAACAACTATTGGACGCTGCTGCGATTGCGAGGGCCCAGGCGGACCTAGCCACCGCCAGGGAACGGGTTTGGGTTAGTTCAACATCTCATTGGGTTAACCAGTTTGTTTTTGATGTGGTTGCTTGGGCCTTCATATGGCAGGTCTCCAGCGCTGGCAGATGTGACTGCTGCAAAAAGAAAGTGCAAGATGGCTGCACGGCCACGGCAGCAAGCAAAGTGTTGGACACATTGAGTTCTTCAAGTGGTGTTTGTTGGGAATGCCGTCACGCTGGTTACATGCAAAGCACGTGCTGAAGTCAAACACACGAAAACTCACTTTACTTATTGAGCCACCCTGAAAGGCGATTTGGAAGAAGGCAGGGCACATGAAGGCGGACATGGGGATAGACCTCACATTCTGACGTTTGTTCTGGCATCAAGTCTGGTTTGTACTCTGGCACATCATCTATCATAAAGGCTGGAGAATGTTTTTGTTTGAGGAAGCAGTTCATGAACGTCATTTGTTCACGAACACCAAGTTCGAGGTTGCTGAATGACAGCTGCCTTTCTGATCGAGCCGCCACTAGAAAGGAAAAGGTTCGTTTTTTCGCTCATGTGCGCTTTCTCGCTGTTTGCTCACTGGAATAGGTTATGAGCCCAAAACCTGGACCGCTGCGATAGATGTCGCTGAACCAAAGAAGACGAAGGGCTACGGCTGCTGAGCTTGCACAGGGCGAGCGAGAGATGAAGCAGGCGCAAGAACGCCTGGACCGAGAGCTGAGGGAAAGCGGTGAGTTGGCCTTGGAGGACGACCAAGGCAGTGAAGTGAAAGGAAAAAGGATAGGAAAAAAGGGGCAAAAGGAAGCTTCGGAATCCCATCCTAGTCAAGGGACTCCTTCCACGGCAGCTGCACCAACCACCGTGACTAGTGCTTCGAAGGTCACCAACTCTGTTGCAGGTAGAACGCCAGAGGTGAGGGGACCGCCAATGCCTTTGAGTTCGACCCCAAGCACAAAAGAAAAGGTAGCAAAGGGTCGAGAAGATGTGACTTCTATCACCCCCTACAAGGCCGAAGAAGAGGTTGAGGTAGGAAAGGGTGGAGAAGAAGAAGAAAGTAAAGAAGAAGGATTTCAAGTGGATGTGTTGCCAAATGGCCCCCATGAGATCCTTTCGATTGCAACACCACCGGAAGCAGTGAAGCCTCTGTTTGACAGGGAACAACTACAGGGCCTTCATGAAATGTATAGTCAAGCTCCTCTCTTGTATCCACAGTTCCAAACTCCTCAAACGTCCTTGCACCGTCCTGGCTTCCTCGCTGATGAAGAAGAAAAGAAGGAAGTAGCAAGAAAAGCAAGGCAAGAAAGGATGATGGAGGAAGAAAGACAAGAGTGGGAGGCTGCAGAAAGGTATGAAAAGGAAGAAATGAACCGCCGCATTCGCCTGCTGTCTCAGGAGAACCAACGACTCCGAGATCAAGCAACTGGCATCTATCCTCTGACGAGGACCAGGCTTGAAAGTGATGAGGTTCAGAAAAGACAGATTTCGCAGCTCTTTGAGGAGAATCGACTTCTCAAGGTGCACTTGCAACGCCTCTTGACAGCACAGCAGGAGGTAAAAGAAGATGAAGCTGTTTTCGCCACCCCGAATGGTAGCGCTGAAGCAGGTGATTCAACCCGACCTCCTGAAGCTGAGAGAGGAGAGGAAGAGTTGAAGACAGAAGAACAAAGAACAGGAAAAGGAGGAACTGTTCCAAGGAAAAAGAAAAAGGAAGAACCAGTTGAATCTATGGACACTCAGCACCAGACGCTCACAGTTGTCCTCAAGCTGGTTGAAGGCATGCAAGAGTTGCAGAAGAAAGTGCTTCGTTCGCAGCGAGATGAAGACGGAGCAGAAGCTGAACTGGTTCGCAATGCAGTCGAACTACCAAAGTTGCCAGAGTGGAGCCCGGAGTCGTCGCCCATTGACTATGCAGACTGGCTGTTGTTGCTGCAGCCTATCATGGCCGACCTGTCCACCACAAGCGAAACTTGGTGGGAAGAAGTTGTCCGGGTGGCTCGCTCTTGGTATGAAGATCATATGGCCAAAACTCCACTGGAAAGGTTGGGGCACAAGGTTCATCCATCGTCAGTCCTCAATCAGAAGAAGTGGTCGCGGCTTGAGAAAAGGGCATCAGGGTTACTCCTGACCGCCATCCCAAATTCCTTGAGAGAAGAAGTTGTTGCATCCAAAAGCATCTCAACACTGGGCATCCTAGTTCGAGGCATGGAGCTGTATCAACCTGGAGGTCTAGCAGAACGCCAGGCCATTCTGAGTGCCTTGGAAGCCCCGTCGGAAGCTCAAAGTGTTGGCTCGTGCATTGCCACCCTTCGAAAGTGGATCCGATGGAAAAGACGTGCTGAAGAGTTGGGGGTCAGTGTACCAGATCCCACCATTCTTGCCAGAGGCCTAAGCCGCATGCTTCGGAAGATCCTGACGCTCAACCAGGACTTGAACTTCCGCCTCCAATTGGCAAGATCGTCGTTGATGATTGACTCGGTCCCAAATCACGCTTCGATCACCCAGTATGCCGAGCATGTGATGGCTGAGCTGGAACAGGTCAATTTGCAGAGTCGAAAGAAAGATCCTCCTGCACTACCTGATCCTACAAAGTTGAAGCGAATTGAGGAAGTCAACAAAGAAAAGAAGGAAGGACGAGATCGAAAAGATGTAGAAGAAAGAGAATCCAACAAAGAAAAAGGAAAGTGTCGGTTCTACCTGACAGATTCAGGTTGTCGACGTGGCAAGAGTTGTGGCTACTCCCACGACCTCAAGGACGAAAGAAGAAGGTGCTGGAATTGTGGCTCAATAGACCATATGGCTCCAGCATGTACAAGACCCAAGGAGGTGAGGGACTTCTCATCGAAGCCAAAGATCGCCAAGGCTGAGAAAGAGAAGGTTGAAGGAGGAAAGGGTGAAGTGGACCAAAGTGATGGAGTTCCATCCATCAAAGAGTTGATCAAGGAGGCGAACGACATGTTGAAGAGTATGCATTCCTCGCCATCATCATCGCAAGCTTCTTCACCTGTTTCAGCCCTCCCTCAGGAGCAAGAAAGAAAAGAAGTGATGGAAAAGCTACAGCAACAGTTGAACATGTTGCGCATGAAAACGTTCAGGTTGAAGAGATTGCAGAAGGGAGAAAAAGAAGGGCTGCTGGACAGTGGTGCAACTCACCCTCTTCGTCCATTGAAAGAAGGGGAAGATCAAGAACACTACAAGAAGGTCCATGTCTCCCTTGCAGATGGAAGCACGGCCACCCTGGCCATCAGTCCAGGGGGAGCGATGATCTCTGAGGACTTTGACATTGAGCCGATCATTCCCATGGGCTTGCTTGCTGACCAGCTCAACTGTTCCATATCCTGGTCGAAAGGGCGTTTGGAGGTGGAACATCCGACCTGGGGGAAACTGCCAGTGGAAGATCGACATGGGTGTCCTCAGTTGCCGCGTCGCCTGGCTCTGCAGTTGATTGATGAACTTGAGAAAGTGAAGTTGGGAATGAACTATAAAGAAGATGATGACTTTGAGGCAGAGCTCAAATGGATGCGAGACTTGGTGCAACAACATCCGGTGTTGTCCAGGCTTCCGGACTACGTCAAGGATAGTTTGGTTGTTTCTCCTGCACCTTGGTCTTCGCTGCCTGCCAATAGAAGAATGAGGAGAAGCATGAAGAGAAATGGCTTCGTGTGCCACCTTTATGCAGGTGAAGCTGATGGATTTACACTCGGTCGGGCATGGAGTCAAGCAGGAGGAAAAGATGCTGAGCTCCTCGAGATCGACCTGAAGAGAGGAAAAGAACACAACATGCTGACTCCGGATGGGCCCTATGGAGGTCTGATGAGAGCAGTTCTTGAAGATCGCTTGCTTGGCCTGGTCGGAGGCCCCAATTGCAGGACTCGTTCAGTTCTGAGACACTACCCTGTTGAGGGGGAGACGCCACCAAGACCCATTCGTCGTTGGGGAGGTGAAGAAAATGGCATCAAAGAAGCTACTGAAGAAGAAAAAAGAAAGATCCAAGAACACGACATTTTGTTGTGGCGCATGGTCTTTCTTCAAATGGTTTCCACCTACATGAGGAGGGCAAGGGGAATTTCAAAAGAACCAGCATTTGCTTTGGAACAACCAGCATCCCCGAAGGCCTACAAGCCGGAAGTGGTGTCCTTTTGGGACACCGAAGAATGGAAAATGCTTCAGAAGGAATTCCAGTGGAATGAAACTACTTTCCACCAGAAGCCACTTGGAGGTCAGACTGCAAAGCCAACAACGTTTGCAGGAAACATGAAGCTCAACCCTGAAGAACACTATATGAAAGGGGAAAAGAGTTCGACAGTCAAAGGTTCTTGGGAGTTGGCACGATGGGCACCGGGCATCATGCACATGTTGTCGAGGTCCTTGCTCCTCCATGCCTTTGGTCGAAGCCCGCAGTTGAAAGCTATGTCCTGGGAAGAACATATCCTGTTTGGACATACTCCAGCACGAAGAGATTGTTTGGTGTGTCAGCAGAATCAACAAAGTTCGCCTCATCGTAAGGTCAAGAAGCCCTTGGCTGGAGTGCTCTCCTTGGACACTGCAGGACCGCTGATTCCTGCATACAATCAAGGCGGACACATGGCCCGCTACTTCCTCGTTGGAACCTTCACATGGGCAGTGCCGAAGGGGAGAAAAATCGAAGAACCTTCTGAAGATCAACAGTTGGACGAGGAGGCTGAATTTGTGGCCATTGAACCAGGTGAAGACGAGGATCAAGGCCATCCAGAAGATCAACAAGATGAAGAAGAAGAGGACCGA